AGACAAAGTAAATCTTTAGACAGGATGTCCTCACATACCTTTCATGATTAAATGTAAAAGCAAGTCCTCAATTTGAGATTTAAATCACATTTTAGTAGTGACATAGGATACAAAAACAATGGCAGAGAAGCAATAACCAAGTATCCAAGCTTTTTGCAAAGAGCTCTTTGAATTTAAAAAAAAAAAAGACAGATGTATTTTCATAAGGAAAAGATTTGAATCCCTTTAAAGTCAATCTCTTATCCTTTTCTGCAAAGATAGGAGACTCAATTAAGCAATAGTTTCAGCAGGGGTTCCCAAGTTCTTTCAAAAGGTAATAAAAAACACGGCAGCATCAAAACTCCACACTACGTTATAATTCGACCTTTTTTTTCTGATGAAGCTTGTTCAAGGTTGTCTAGAACACTGCCAAAATGTCCTGTTGTATGAGAACAATTTGTAGCACAGTCTGTCATATCTCTCCTACAGGCACAATCTGAAAAATCTTTTAAAGCCTGTAAGAACACATGTTCCGCTGACTTCACTGGGCTTTTCACTGGCAAAACTTGAAGGAAAAGCTCACTTTATAGGATTCCATTACATCCATTTTAATAAATAGCACTGTCCATATGTATTTCCTGACCCCTATAACATCCATTTACAAGGGAGAGGGAAGCCCAGCACATAATGTTGTACAGGATGTTCTCTATTGGTCTACAGCACACAGGCTCCACCCCACATTCTGAAAATTCAGCAGCATGTGGATTATGAGAATATAATTGTAATTGACTGGGGTGAGGAATTGTGTAAATGGCTTTGCAGAAAACTTCAGGTCAGGTAATGTTCCATTTAAAGCATATAATAGATTAAGTAAATGTGCTAACAGATACAGTCCAAACATTATTTGAAAGACAACTAACACACTGAACATACAAGATTAACTAAACCTTAGCATAGACACAAGGAAGTCCTCCTGAAGATTCTGTAAATGAAAGTAAATATAAGAATGTGCATTTTCAGGTAGGATAGCAAAGAGATGATGCTACAAAGTTAAATAAATCCTGTATGTTCTAAAAGGAATACAAATCAGAAAAAATTTTGCACCAAATAATGTGCTTATGCTCAAAACAGAAGAAAGAGACTGGAAAAAGCCAAAATTTTAGGTCTGTTGGGTATTGGTTAATATATTATACAATAGACCAAATTATCCCAATGTACCCAATACACTATAACGTTTCAACGAAGCCTATCAATATCACACATTTATGACGAACAGTTGCTCTATCTTTTTGCTAACTCTATTACTTGAGTTCAGAGAAGGTTTATGGACTAGAAAGCCTCAGATATGGCCATGAATGTTTGATGCCTTCACATATACTGTTATTGCTGTAACGTCACTCCCCATTGGAATTATTACATTCTGACAGCCTGTGGTCATTACAGGCCAATGGGAGCAGTAGAGTATTAAAATCATGGACTTCCTACACTACTGGATTATTTTTCGCATTGAAATTGGTACTAACTCATTCAGCGTGTTTCTCACAGAAAAAAGTATGGGTTTTGAAACTGTAAAAGAAACTACTAGCTATTAGTATTTGTACAATGCCTAAAATCAAGCCTGTTAATATGAGACACCTTCAGGTCTTTTACAATCTATTTAGAATGACTGAAGAAGGGAAAAATTCCCCAAATGCATAGGAGTATTTGAATACAAAACATTCATGCCTTTGTCCTACTGAAAAAAATGTTGTCTAAAATTTTAAGCAGTCCAACCAATCCCAGTACAGACAGATGCTCATTTTTTATTCTAGAAACACTGTCCTATGGGAAGCAGTTTACAAAGGTGACTAGCAAAGAGAATTTAATAAAGCTATGGTGGCCAAAGCAACCTAATTCCAGCCTAACTAGCATCTAACTGAACTAATAGGCATGACTATTAAAAAAACATAACCCCACAACAGGGCTCCTTCGGCATCTTCCCAATACTCATGTTGCAGTGTACACATTCACACATGTACACACCTACACACATACACAGTTGCACACAAAAACTGACCAATATTTTGCAAGAGCTATTTTAAAGCTATTCATTCTTGCAGATGGAGCAGAAAACCAGGGAAGACTTGTATGACAGACAACAGTAGTTAGCTGCCTTTTTTATTTCTTTTTAAATATCGTATTTTTTCAAGGAGCCATAAATAATCCATCTCAGAATGCTCCTCAGAGACAACAAAACAAAAGTCTTTGCATCCTGAGAATGTTACAAAGCCAAGACTTGAGCTTGGAAATAGATCAGAACCTAAGAGAGAAAGGATCCACATTGACTACATCTAAAATTCATGGGGCTGAATGGAAAGAAGAGAAAACACACGTATACGCACAGAAATTATTGCAACTGGTTATACTTGTTGCAGGACTCCTGCAACACTCAAATGCAACTCTTCATATAATTAAACCTCACAACTGAAGTCTTGAGGAACCCTTCACCCCTCATCCTCTTTCACACAGTGGGGAAACACCAAGTGCCAGCAGCTGTTTGCCACCTCCTTTCTTTCCCCCACTAAGTTTCACTCCCTCACACTCACATTGCCAAGTCCTACTACTTCTATTTTTATAGATGAATAAGCCAGGTAGACAGAAAGGCAATGTAACTTCCCAAAACACTATGCTACAAGAATAACAAAGGAAGGAACAGAAACAGATACCCAAATTCTAGTTGGGGGAAAAAAACCAAACACACACCCCCTTCCAAAAAAAAAAAAGTTCTCAGATAAATTAAATTCAGGGCCTTTTTACAACAGCTTTATCTCCCCCTCTGCGTATCACCCAGTGCACACACGGCTCATGCATCTTGCAGAGCACTTGCTCTCAGCCCTAACAAGTGCTGACAGGGCCCAGCCCAATTATAACCAAGCAACCCACATGATATTTTTTATTGCAACATTACCTTTAAAATGCTTCAGTCATTTTTTGTCATTATTTGTCATGGCAACGGCAGCTGAGGCTTTTCTTTCCTGGCCCTCCCATTAGTTTCACTCTAAACTCTCTGCTCATTCTGCTCTTTGAACAAGAGCGATATTGATTTGCTGTCCTATTGGCACCTCAGAAGGGCTTTAGCTCTCTTGTGTTCTTGCTATTCAGCTTCAGCCAGATCCCAGCAGATTTTCCTCCCCATCAAATACAGGAACTGAACAGAGACCACACAGGACCACGCGTCTCCCTGCCTGTCTGCTGGCACAGGAGGGGGGGACCAGGAGACCAGCCATAGCTCTACTCCCATCCTCCACTGACATCCCCATAGCAGGCGACAGGAGGATTCCTCATCTCCCAATTCTCTACTGTGGGCATGCCTCAAGGAGGATTTCCCTTTTATGATCTTAGAATTAGATCATGCTGTATGGCTTAAGGGCAATTCAAGTAACTTTTACTAGAATCCCTTTATTTTGTCTTTATTCTGGGAGATGAAAAGTTACCACAGCGCTTCGTCTATGTAGCTCACCTTCTTCAATCTTAATACCAGACTGCAAGGATATCAGAACATAATTATAAACCCTCTTAGACAGAGTACCAGAAAACCCTACTTGCATTGTTATTCAAGCATTCGTCCAGTTGTGGTTTATAATCTGGAGTGAGAGACTTAACCAGATTCAAACAAATAAACAAACAAGAATAGGATGACCTGAGCGCAGGGGGTTGGATGCAGTTTGAATGGCACTGACCCCCTCCAGCACAGGCTCCTGAAACTGACACCAGGAACAACAAACCACACGGGAAACTGACCTCTTCTACGAGACCAACAGCCAAAGGACCCCACACCAGCAAGAGACAAGGCCCATTTGTGGGATATTGCAGCAAGCTGATGGACTCGGCTGACTTTCACTTAGCGTAAGTGAAAGGATCTCAAATAAAACACATGTACACTTGAACGTGTAGACACCACTAATGGCTGGAGCTGCCCAAGGCTGTTCACTTTGTGTGCTCTTTAAGCTGTAATTCACACCTGCTGTGTTCATTCCTTGCACAAAACTCCAGCATCCCAAACTCAGGATCTGCTCCCCAGGCCCCCACAGCCCACGAATATTAGTGTCCTTCACAGATCCTCCTCTAAGGGCCATTTTATTTATCCTTTAACAACAGCCAATTATTATTTTTTTCCTCCCACAAGGAAAAAAATTAACTACAGGAATTAACTACATTTTATTATTTATCTCGGTCACATCACCTCAGTTAACTGATCTGCTTGGAATCCACTGAACTTTCCAAATCACCAACAACGAGGCTAAAAATCCACCACACTTTTACCAAGCCTGTGAGCAATGAACAAGTTTGGGGGTTTTTCCCTCCCCCCAAGTTTGCATTTTATTACATAATTGAAAATACCTGGTGCTTTTAAGACAAGGTTTCCTTTTTCCTTCACAACAACAGGCTTGGCTTTCAAAGCAGACCACCGATTAAAGAAAAAAAAGAAGTAAACGCGCACATTTAATACTTCAAAAACTTCTCCTCGAGTTACAGATGACAAGAACTCTCAGCACAAAACGCCCCTGCCCTCCAAAAGTCGCCAAATTGGGTTTCAAACAGAGATAATAGTAAATAAAGCGCCACTCACCGCGCGCTCCGCCCCCGGCAGCGGCTCCGCCTCAGCGCCGCGGGCCCCGCTCTTCCAGAACCTTCCTGCCCCCCCGCGCGCCCCTCTCCGCGCGCGCGCAGGCGGCAGGTGTTCGCAGCCGGCCGGTAACGGTCACTAACGGTCACTAACGGCCATCACCGCGCCGGCACCTGCGGCAGGGAGCCCGGCCGGCGCCCCGGCCCAGCGGGAAGGCTTCCCCCAGCTACACGCTTCCCCCCGCTACACCTTAAGGTCAGAACGCTCACTCAGCTTGTTCAGGTTTTATTTCTCTTTCCTCCCCCCCAGATCTCTGCGGCGTCGGCCTTGCTCCTCCGCACCGGGGGCTGGTAGGGTTTTACCAGAGCCCCCCACGGCAGTTTAGCCCCCCTTCAGGCCCAGCCTTGTGGCCGAGATGGCCGGACCCACAACTCAGGCCACCGACCGACCCCCCATGAACCACTCACGGCTCCCTCAAGAGCCCCCCACGCCATGCGGCCCCAGCACGGCTCAGGTAGAGCCCGGGAGCAGCACCTTTTGCCATCAGCAGAGCAAAGGCAAAGTTCTGTATTTGCTCACCCAGAGGGTGACTCACCTTGCTGTTCCCTGCACGCTGCCACTGCGGCGAGGCCAGACCTCCACGAAGGCCTTAGGAGCAGCCCAGGTTTCTATCACCGGAGCTTTGCCCCAGCTGTGTGCCAGCTCCTCCTCCCTGCCACAGGTGAGGCTGGTAACGAGCCTGAGGGACCCCTCTCCCCGATTTACACCCAGCAACAGGGGCTCACAATTGCAACACAGGCCTTGCCACCATCCCTAGGGCTTGTTATGATCTGGCATCAACAGTGGTGGCCTTGAAACATGCACAAACCCTTCCCCTGACTGGCCAACCCCTCTTCTAAGCCCTATTTTCTCTAACAGAATTTTAAAAATCCCAGTGCCCCTGGTGTAACTCCACGTAGTCGGTGTCTTTTAAGTACTGGGAGGTCCAGAATTAGAGCACCATGTTCCAGGTGATAGCTAATGAGGAGCATATTACAAAGGAAAAAAAGAAAAGACTATCAGGTCCCTGTATGCCATCTGTTTAGGGCTTTGTTTATTCACAGAATTGTGTCGCAGCTCTGTAATTCCTTTATCAAGACAGTCTGATTTAAGAGTTTTATTGCATCTGCTGTATGTAGAGCTTTAAGGGTTAAATAAATCTGGTGTGTATTTTAAGTAACAGCAAGTTAGCACCTTACTGTGCTATTGATCCTATTTTCTTCAAGGAAGTTCCATAAATGGTGTTTTTTTTAAGCACTGTGGGAGTCTTTTAGTACTGCCGTAATGCAAATCAAGCAGTTACGATCACCACAAACTGATCTTGCTCTTTAGAGATTAAAGCCCCAGGGACAGAATTATCTTCTGATGAATTCGACCAAATGGATTTTTCAGGACTTTGATGATCTTGCTTGTGGGTGTATGTGTGTGCATGTGTCATTTTCCTCCGGCAGAATTTACATTAAGACAAATGAAGAATGAAAAAGTAAACCAGGATTGTGGATACAATTGTGTCAGTATAAACATACTTTATAATTAGATAGTTATTACCATAGAGTAGGAGAAGAACTAAACCAGTATAAATCACTTTTATACTAACCTCATGGCATCCACCAAGAAGTTCATAGCAGCATAACTCTTTTATAAAAAAAATCATACCCGTTACCAACATTATTATTCCAGTAAAATGTAAATGCAGACTAGGCCTTAGATACCAATTAAACTGCAGTTGACAGAGGTGTTATTGTCTAAATAGAATAAATGTAACAGAACAAAGAGCAAAATAAATAATGAAATAAGAAATAATGGAAACATATATCTGTGATATTGTCAAATTGTCCAATGAGAAGATTTGAGAGGAAATTATTATATAAATCATTTAAGCAATTTCTTTGCTGAGAGAATGCCAGTAGTTTGGAGAGAATCTATTAAATCTAAATGCGCTGAAATTAATTCCTGTAGTCTTTTGTGTGTATATATATCCCTCTTTGTGAGTTACCCTGTTTGAAACTGAAAATGGACCTCTAGAGGCAAGATTCATCACTTGCCCACCGACCAAGTTTACCTCAGTGACATACAGTTATTCCAAAACGTTAATATAATTCCATTTCCCTTAGAACATGTGGCTACTCAGAACACTGAGTGATCTCTGGAAAGAAATCTGTAAGGAACTGAATTACTAGGAAAATCTATTAAAGAGCTTATTGTCATTGCCAAACCCTTTAGCAATTCCTAGGTTCAAAGTACTTAAAGAAGTAGGACTCTATCCAAAGTCACTCGATTTCTTACTGTGTTCACCTTCAGGTTTCCCCACAAAATCTGATTACATTCTGTTTTGTGCCTTTTTTTTTTTTTTCTTTCTTTCTGGTGGAACCGCTTGGACTTCTTCACAGCAAAGAGGGGGAGAAATGGGAGAGATGAAGGGAGGAGAGAAAGGAAAGAGCATTAAAAGAGCCATGGAAAAGAATGTCAGTAAGATTTATGGGTCATATATCGCCACAGAAAGGCTGTAGGTGGTAAGGAGCATGCTGTGGCAGTAATTTATAGTGCCTTGCTATGACAGACTCCTGGACTGAAGATGAAAAAGGTGCTATTAGAACAAAGGCAGGCTATCTGGGATGTTGTTGTAAACAAGAATCCTCTTATCACAGCTGCTACAACCTTTAGTTGATCATTTGCTGGGAAATTAGCAAAGCTGTAACATTTTCCAGGTTCAGTCTGGGACCCTTTGAGTCAGAATTCATGTGATTGTTCACACCACTTTACTGGTATGACTAAAATGATAAAGATAGAGCAGAATAAAGATGGGTTTGCTGCGTTGCTATTCCCCTGTAGCACGAATAAAAATAGACCTGTATAAACTACCTTTTAGTCTTCCCTAACTAGGAGGGTATAGATTCAATGTTTTAGTTAAAAACAAACCCAAACGTCTTCAACTAAAAGAGCTGTACCAATGCACTTTTTAAGGCTCAAGCTCTGAATTTGGCTGGAACAGACAAGTTACAAAACTCCAGTGGGCTTTCCCAGGATTTTGACATTAAATTCAGTTCCCATGTTTCCAAAATCTTGCTGTGTTGCTCAAAGAGCTGTCTGTAGTATGAGGCTGAGCAGTTCCTTGAAATATACCATAAGACAGAAGTTAGTTATTCATAACAGTGAATCATGAAACTAAGACTGTTTCATGTTTTTCTTAGAAATTGACTTACTTGGGTTTGAAGTAGGGCACCCTGGAAGTGCCAAGTGTCCTGAACTTTCCAGGAAGCAGCAGTGACTTTACTTTCCAAAGTCATTTAACATGCAAGTCACAGAATAGGAGTTAAACCCCAGGTCTCCCAAAGCTCAGTCTGTAATGCAAAACTTGTACCTCTTGATTAAATTACGCATACATCCTTACATCATTTTGAACAATGTCTGGAACGTACAAGCAATATCCCCAAATAAGTTTGGAGTTTGCTCCTCCCAGATTTATTCCAGAAGTAGCACTTAGGCAGCTGCAGCTGTTGGTTGTTAGCAGGTAAGCAGAGGAATTCATTTTCAGGGGTTGTCAGTCCAAAACTTTTTTACTAGCATCATGTTCCCTTTAATTAAAGTACAGAGCTCTGACAAACTCTCAACAATGGAAGCACTTGCAGTCAACTCTACTATTAAATGAAAACTGTTTGCATGTCTCTACTGTTAATTATTATTATTACTATTAAGTATTCAGTGCAGAGAACACATTTACAGTAGTGATCTCTACTCTGCAATAGTCTGCAATTAAACTCCAAAAATAAGTGCTACTGCTGTGAAGAAGATAAACTAAATGTATACACCCCCAATCTCAGCATCATTCCCTTGATGTCCCACCACAAAGTGACTCTAAGGTGTTCAAATACTGCTATCTTCAAAGCACATTAGCATCTCAAAGCCAGGTTTATGTCTCTGAAATCAGCTCTTCCAATTTCAGTAACACTTATGGGGACACCTAAGTAAATTTTCAGCCAGAGCCTGTAGACAACGTGCCTGAGGTTGTGACTGTCCCACAGTCTCTTGTGGATCATAGTATACTGTCCCCTGGTTTGGCTTAGGGTGTAAGTATGTTCTGAACGTATTTTTCTTCATAAAATAAGATTCTAAGAAAATTTCCATAGATTTTTAAAATGCAGCCATAGCCATCCTCTCATCTTAACTTGGAAGTTCTTGCAAATAGCCTAAGTAAAATGTCTACACATTTGATTGTGAAGACCACATCTCTGAAACCAAAAAGAAAACCTCTCAATTGGAAGAGACTTAAAAACTATTAGCTCTAAACTAGCAAGTAAGGCACATTTGGAAATGCAGCTCTACTGCGCTTCTCTTTCTCCTTCCTTACTGCATTTCATTTTCTAACAGCCAGAGCTGAGGCGCAGCAGATGCCAGCCAGCCCTAACTTCCCCGCACAGACTTCAGCTCCGTGGCTGAGCGCCCTGCTGTGTGCCAAATTAAAACTCAGCATTCTCAAAATTGAACTTGGATGACTGTGAATAGGGGTCTGTTTTGGTCTTTGCTCCTCTGGATACCCACACTTCGATGTGATTTGGATCAGGCCTTTCTTGGTAATCTGTGTTTCCATCTAAGTTCCAGAACACCTGGTTGAAAAGCCTCCCTGAATTCCTCTGAAGAAGGATTAGGAAGCCTGATAAGACACAGCATCTAAAATAACACAATCTGCAGATGGATTAGGAATCAAACAAATTAAATTGTCAATAACCTCAAAATCTTACTTCTGTTTCCTTCTTTCTGTGGCCCCAAAGAATTCTGTAGCAGTCAGAATGGCTCATTGCAGATCTTAATATTTTTATTCCTTAAATATTCTTTCTTATAGTAATATATAGTGTGAATATTTAAAAATAGAGTTTTATCGAGGAGTAGTTTTAAAGTGAGAAAAATTGTTCTTTTTTTTTTTCATCTGTTACAGAAGGACACAAATTCTGTCCAGAGTGAATTTGTAAGTGCTGTAGGCAAATCTGGACTTGGGAACGGATTTAGAGGTGTGCTCAACCATGACAGTGTTGTGTGCCCTTCATCATCCTGATCGCATGATGCAGGAAGTTATACAGTTACCCACTGATACATAAATACTGAAATAAGGGGCATCACTTATTAAGGATAAAAGGATAACCAGTGATCTAACTATGCACCCTCCAAAAAGCCTTCATCTCAGTCTGATAATTTTTTTTCCCCTATTTGGAAGCACACACCTCTCTATGGCAGATGAGCCATCCTGGCTTATTTGACTAGACTTATTTTATTTTGAGTGCTACACCTACTTAGATTTTTATTTCCTGGTGGGTAATCCTCATTCAAAATATGGAGGAGTCTGAGGAACTGCTTGAAGAGCAGTTATCTGAACAGAGATCGTTTAAATGCTGGTATGTGAAGTTATCTTTTTAACTCTTTCAAATAAATATCTAGCTAGTTCCCTGCTTCTTGCCACTCTGCAGAATACGCGCCTCGCAA